CGCACCTTCTCGTGTTCCTTTTTGAGATCTTCATGCATCAAAGAACAATAGGAAAAATAGACTCGTTTCCGGTAGCGAGTACTTGCACTGATCAGCACTTTCCTGAAAATATCAGTAGGCCCAAACAGCAGAAAACAGGTAGGGTCAGAGATGCTAGGTATTGATTGGTAAGATCGCGCGATTAGATGTGTCTATAGGAATGCATACTTGTGGAATGAGGTTGCATTTGCGGATTACCCGTCAATTTTCCTAGGAAGATGATATATTGTAACGGAGTGGAAGCCACTTGTTGTAGTGAAATCATCAAAAACGAAAGAACTTTCGGTTTTCCTAACTGTGAGCTGTAAGGTTGCTAAGCAATTAAAAGTTCAAAGATATTAATAAATTACAGGCACAGGACATACGCTTCTTTTATGCTGTCTACGTCATCATGTACTGAATTTGAATAATCAATGGACTTTTAGGTGACTATTTTTTTCAAGATGAGAATTCACTACGGCGAAGCGCGCGCCCAGAGAGACGTAATGGCTCAACCCGTCTCCGATGCTGGTGGTCTGTGGTCGTCGGACTGTTGCCGCCTTAGTAGAGAAGGAAAGCAGGACGCTCACTATGACACCGCCAGCGTCGGTAGGACTCATATTGCGCGAGAAACAACGAAGAAAGCAGGGGTCTTGTTTTGCGGTTCTTAGGCGGATTCCCTGCACTACGACACTATTTAGCACTTCTACATTTCAACTCTAACGGCCACCAATTTATCGTATAATCTGTCTTTAAGTAAAATAGGAGAAGCCATTAGAGAGCCCATTGTAAGCAGACGGAGGAACGACAAATGCAAACAATGCTCCATGGTTTGCATTTAGGAATCGGAATCAACGTTTTTACCTGAACCGTCGCTTATCTCTTAGAAAGTGATACACAGGTACGGTCATTGCCCGTAAATATAGTTGAACAAATAGAAATATCAACGACGTTACTGCGACGATTCGGATCAACGGTGGATCCTTTTGACAGTAAATGTTCTGAAAAAGCCTAGAATAAGCAATTCGCCACATAATGCCTAGAAACATTTCCACGACAGCTGTTAAACTGCTGGCTGCCTAATAACAACACCATCCTTTTAACACACCTTTTCATACCATTTACTGTGCTTCCATTGTAAGATTAACTATCAAAAATTGGTGCACTAAACAAAATTCCAAGGGTAAATTGAATAATGGTCTATTTCATTAGCAGCTTCGGAGTAACTTAAGAGTAAAAACAAAAAAAAATCAAAAGGCATAGTCCGCAAGTGCAACTAAATGGAACAGTCCCTTCAATTTCCACCAGGTTGACATGCTCTTATGGTTAGTTAATTCCCAAACCACTGTTCGATGGTTCGCTAGCAGCGAGAAATGGAGATATCCTGGCTAACTGGCTCTATACATCGGTGTGGTGACACGCATTAGCGTCCAAGTGGTGTCGTGTCTCACTCGTCCTTTGCTCGGCACTGCTTTCAACGCCGATGCTTCCACATACAGCCCGTAGTCTCCGCTGGTAATCGTACAACAATTAAAATGTACAAGAAGGAGTTTTTTATTCAAGGACAGTCTTCAGACGGTTCAAGTTAGGTTAGTGGGGTTCCTTACGTGGCAGCCTGCTTAGCACCTGCAGACTCGTTTTGAACCAACTTACCCACAATTTTTTTGCTGCGGGACCTTCAAAGACAAAAGTCGGGCTCAGTCTCACTGAAAAGGTCCCTTCTGGTGTTAGAGGTGCCAGGTCCGCAACTGTAGAGGTCCCTACAACTTAGCACCTCGAAACGCCTCAAGAAGGCCACATTAGACGCCTACGATTGTCAATCCATTGGACGCCTGTCGAACGGGTATCCGCCCATCACTTCGATATCCACTGTGCCGTTTCGGTTGGTCAGCTGTGCTCTCTTGACTTGAATTTATGTCATCTTTGTCCGCGACTAATACACTGCGACGCATAATTATAGTTCCACCTACAAATTTCCCAAAAACTTGAATCTGGGGATGTTTTTGGAAAAGGCTCTACAGATAAATTGTGACACATATAAACGCGAATCTGAATATTAACACGGAAATCCAGTTTGAGAAAGCAACAATTTTTTATCCTTATTTTTTCGAAAATATCCGCTTTAGCTTCTCCGCTGCATTTTGCTTTTACCCAATCAAAATTTGGAATTATTATCCATTCAAGTTCCTTAGCTTATAGCAAAGGCAAAACCGCTGTCACACTTCCGTAAAAGGGAAATCCTAGCAAAAGAGACGCAGGAATTGTTGAAAGTGTCAGCTCCGCTGGAATTTGTCGGGGTGACTTCATAACGAACAAATTTCTCAAGGATGCTACAGGATATGACTGGGAGGAACCCTGATTACTATCCGACTGAGATAAGCGCCGTATCGTGAGAAAATGATATCCAGCCGGGTACTGAAATTGTAGGTGGAACTATAATTATGCGTCGCAGTGTATATATTCTCCATTAACACGACCGCTTCGCTGGTTAGAACTCCCGCAGCATGAGGGTGAAGGGGAATGATTTACTGTTGTGAACGACATTCTTTATTTTACGTCGGAGTCATTCTTGCCACCTCTACTTTCGTAAGTGGAGTGCTATTGACACCATCATAGTCCGTGACTCCTGCTCTCAACAAATACAAACCGCCCCCAGTCGTGGTCGGGCCCCGCCGCACCGTAACACTTTTAGCCTAGCCCCTACCCATACACGACCTAAGGACAAATCCCACCCATCCGGGCCCATGCCCCAAGTATTTTCATGGGTCTACGTAGCGAGTGAGCCTAGTGGTTACAAACAGACAGACAGACAGACAGACAGACAGACAGACAGACAGACAGACAGACAGACAGACAGACAGACAGACAGACAGACAGACAGACAGACAGACAGACAGACAGACAGACAGACAGACAGACAGACAGACAGACAGACAGACAGACAGACAGACAGACAGACAGACAGACAGACAGACAGACAAAAACAAACATCCTCATGCTTTATATATAGAGGGATAATCTAAGAATAATGTAAATAGAAACCAAGTAAACAAAGAAAGCCTCACTTCTTCGTGATATCCGCCGAAAATCGGCAGCCAAGGCAAACGCCGCATCAAGTAACAAAAATACACAGGTAGTATATTGAAAAATAAGTTGTACGCGCAGTAGACGAGATCGACGCTCCAAGATTGCAACGGCAAAAAGTACCTGTGATTTGAATGACCCTCAAATTAATTGTTCAACAACCAATAAATTTAATCGACTTTAGACAGATAAAACATTTTCTAGGCTTGTCCCATAATTGAACGATAAGCTGGCTGTCAACGAACTGCTAAAAACGTGAGGCTGGTGGCCCACTGGAAAAGAACGAAGGCTATAAAAGGCGAGAAAACAGTGGGAAAGTAAGTGCAGGCATCCTATAAGAGCCCTGTGGACGTCTTTCTTTTACAGTACTTATGATAGGCCTACATGTACTGGACTCGATATATAGCCACGCGTCTTAGCCGCAGAGTCAGCCCGTCAGCCTATAGCCGCGTACAGCACGGGCCAACAAACTCGCCAATTTCCTCTACTTTAAGACGACTAATTAAACTTCGCTAAATTCAACGTACGATTTCCCGCCTTGGTAATTAAACGGCGCGATGGTTCATTTTCTATTGGATAACGCCATAACAGCACTCATTCACGGGTGACATCGGAAAATCTGCTGAGGGAAGATGCTGCAAGGGTTGAACTCAGTGAGCCCTCGAGATTGTCTGAACGGATCAGCAGGGAACCTGCACAATCAGAGTTAATTTTTTTCTAAGGAGCTATCTATCAGTCAACCTATCGAAGGAAATATGTAAGAGCTTCAGGCTGGAGCGGCGGGGGTAAGTCTCCTTGAGTTCGACGGTGATGGCAGATGACGTCATACTCCGAGGACGGTGAGAGGAGTGAAAAAAGCCCAACTTTTGCTTATGGGTGGGACTGGGGGCCTCTAAGAGATATTTTGCCGTAAAAGCATAATCAACAGCAGCATCCTAGAAAAGTTTGATGATATACATCGAGCAGTCTTTTTTTTCGGCCACGCCTTTAGGAAAACCAGTCTTGTATTCTTGTCTGTCACACCACGTTTGTTTCAGATTGACGAAATAATAATAGGTTTTTTCGGTTCTTGAGAAAGGAAGCCAAAACGAACATTAATATTTTGGTTTATAGAAAATTTTTTCTTTCTTAATTGTAACTTGTCAGGTTACAGCCACGTTTGTTTCAAGAGGGCTTAAAGTCAATGGCAGAAAGATGAGGCGGCGGAAGCTATTGACGTTCTTGTCGATATGGGATGCCAGTTCATGAAAAAAAGAATGGAAAAAGAAAGAAACTCAAAATGAAACTCTTATTCTGAGGTTGGTCTAACAATGAAGGCTTACTAGGTCCTCCACTGCATCTTTAAAACGGTTGCTTGCATTATATAGGGAGCTATGTTTCAATTTTTTTTCCTAAGTTCACCAAAACGCTGAAATAGGGGTGAAGGGAAGGATGATATATTGCCACCAGGACTATAAACAACCCACGTAAGTAGGTTTTTGCTAAAAGCCGATTTCAAAGAGTTGAGCGCCTAAGTTTTTTTTAACCCCTTTACCGGTATTTGGAGGGCCACTCAAAGGAAAATAAACGGTAGTTGAATGCTCCGTGCATGCTTCCCTAAATCAAGCTGATTGCCGTTTTCAAAAAGCGGGGCGCGACTGAAAGGCTTTCCTGGTGACTCACTGCACGAGTCTACGTCACAGGAGCGCCCTCAGGAGCCAGGTGCTAACAATGAAGGACCAAGGGAGAGTAGAGACAAGCAGGACGCAGACAGTACGTACCACCGGAGCGAGGTGCTAACAATGAAGAACCGAAGGAGAGTAGGGACAAGCAAGACGCATACAGCACTTAAAATAGTGATGACGGCTATGGACGGTATGACTTGGAGAATGACCATTTTACTAAATATTGCGACAGTTACTTGGATTGAACTGCTAACCATAGGATGAAAGTGAGTATGGGGATAGAAATGGTACGACTTCATTTCGTGGTAATTATGAAAAAGCCTCTGAATATCGAATTTTATATTGTAGGACAAGGTCGATGCAGGTCCCCGCCGTCAGCTAACGTGAACTCATAAGGGAATCAGCGAGGGCGAAGGTAGGTGGAGCTTGCGTATGGGGCGGAGACTGCGCGAAAGAAATAATCCTGTCACTTCCTTTCTACGCATCTTTCAACTGGGAGAACGGCCCAATTCATGTGAATCAAACACTGTTCTTTACAAAACCTTCAACTCAAGTAATCATAAAATGTGCTTTTGAAGATAAAACCTAAAGCATGATTGAATGCACTTACCTTAAATGAATAAAAAATTGAGTATTGCCCTATGGTGACGCAGAAGACGAACCATGGCAGATGAGTATCATCACAATTGAATAAATTAATAAGGAAATGTAAAACATTTAAAGTATAGCAGAATAATCCGAATCCGCATTCGATTAAACATACAAGCATTGCCCTGAATACGGTAAATACAGTACAATTGACTAGAAATAAGGATGTATAAGTGGAGCTAACAATTGTGAAGGTCCCTACCTACCTAGATCACTCCAGCTTCGCCGCAAAAGTTGCGCGGTTAGGGCGCTAATCCTTACGGGCCTGCAACCATCGACCCCCGTTGCAACGCTTCCCACCCACCTCGATATCGGCGTGCTCTCTCGAACGGCGTGATCTCTCGCGTGTTTTGTCTTCTTTGACCGCCCTGCCTCGCCATCGTTCCACATCCGACCTTTTTGAAGGTTAAGGCCTTAATTTCAGCGATCCCAAAGATTTCTCTAGCTTTCCTTTCCACTTTCAGGCCGTCCCGCAGCTCAGTCATCACTACGAAGCGCTCTTATCACCAGTTTTATCCGGGCTTGCCTTTAGACCCATATAAGGATGGTTTCTGTGGTTGATTATGTTCATCTTTGTCCGGAGAGAAGAATCAAAACCCTTTCAAATTCGAGAGCTCACCTTTGAGTAGGTTGAGAGTGAAGCTTGTCCCAAGTCAGGGAAGAGGTTTTGTATCTGCTCAACAGAAAGTCGAGAGTTTCTAGCCTAGAACCTAAGCTACCGTACTGAATTGGAAATTGCACTGTAAAGCAAAAGCACACTTCCAAAACAATCCATCAGCCTATCTGACGAAGGCTTTCGTGGGCTTTTGAGCTCCACTGGATAAGAAGGCCAAGCCCGGCTCGTCAATCGATTCTTTTGAGTTGCGCCACGTACGCGTTTTCAGTCATGATTGCCGACCGAGACTTTTGAAAGCCTGTTTTGCCCGTACAATAGTTAACGCGAGTGAGATCCAGCCTCACTGGGTGGGGATTCATTAGCCAAGGAACTCACCAAGATGGTGTCGCAGGTACACCGGTACTCGTCCAGAAGAAAGGCATCTGATACTTTGGCGAGGAAGCATCAAATCTGAAAAGGTAACAGGACTGAACCCCAAAGGAGCACAGTTCAATGAGGAAGGCAGGTGAATATCATGTCACGTATAGAAGCTTACCTTTCTGGTCCTACAAGCTCATGTACCTCGAGAGGCGTGTTGAATTGGCGCCAGACGAATTGCATCTCTGCAAGGGAACACAAAAATACACACATAGTTCAAATGACCCACCTAGTAGTGCTAGAACAAGGTCAATCAAAACGATGCCTGGGTCATGTGGCAAAACGCGGCATCATTTATTTGGGCACTATCGCAAGATTTTTGGCATTGTTGCTACAAAGCAAGCACATGAAATATTCCCCTCCTTAAATCGGGACCACGTCTCAGGAGAGGAGGAGAGACTCGAACGTGGTTTGAAGAGATCTCATTTAGCCCAAGAATTCTGCCTTCTTAAGGCTTACTCTTGGAGGTTGCCCCCGTACCTTGTGATAGGGCCTATATTCGAATGCTCCTGATGGTATGCTCAAGCCTCTTGGAAAAGGAATCGACAAACGTGGAAGCACTGTGCTTTGCTTCTGGACATCCCCCTTTCTATAGATTCGAGTTTGCCCGAACCCACAAAGTATATTGTTCCAGGTGATAGCATGATAAGTGATAGGGAGCTCTTAACAAATAAACTCACGCTCCCGATCCTTGAGATCGATCCATATTTCTTTGCATTCCGCCTTCAATTTGTTATATGGTCTCTTCTACATTACATCTCAATTGTCTGCTGGCAGGTGGGTCTCGCCATCCCTGCCAACGCCACTTTCCTATGCCAGTAACGACGTATCTGAATCGTTCAGGAAGCCTGAAATTGACCTAGTCACTTCCATCCGTGTTCTAGTTGTATCGACATATAAGACTGCGTTAGATTGGCCTTTGCCATTGGGCCGAACAGCAGCCTTAAGATGCGTGAAGCAACGGCTATAACAGTACAATTAAAAAAATGGAGAGAAGAAGCTTCTCTTGTTTCGACAGGCTTTCACAATAGGCGTTTGAACTTATATCAAAACTTAAGCGGCAGCGTGCATTTTAATTTTTTAGGGAGAGTGCGATTCGTGCGCTTAGCCGGTGTGATTCAGTTTTGCATCACGCCGTCCCCAATAATATTTTAAAAGATTGCAACTGAACCGAACCTCAAAGGCAAGATGTCTGGGATAAACAGCCGGTGGAAAGCGATTCAGCCTTCAGTTGATTTGAGGCTAGGGGTGGAAAGTGGTCTGGAAAAGAAAAGGGAAGCGAACGAAACCACCGATTACGTCCCGCACAGAGACCTTCCCAATTTCAGCCGCTGCTGCCTGCTTGGACGAAACAAAAAGTGTCGTCCAGGCGGCGACTGAACTCCTGCACTACTGTTTACTGGGCAAGTACACTTCCAGATACGCCTTTGGGGCACCATTTTCATTCCAATTCAGCTCTTATAGGAATGTTAAAACATTGTTGAAGAAGTGGTCCAAATTTCAGTCCATGGTGATGGCAGTTTTACAATTTATGTTGGTACCTCCATGTGCGGCCAAATTGCGAGGGTGACATTTATCCTCCACCATGACGCCATTTGGCTGCAATCTGAAAACGTCAACCTGAATTCGCAGAAACTAGCCATCACGGAGGATGGAACTTTGGACCATTTCTTCACCATCTTATTTTTGGGGAAATAAAGGGGGAAAACAAAAGCGTTAAAGAAATATGGACAATGAATTGGAGGCACTATGCGGCGAGCCTCTTGAAAATGCAGGATGACCTCTCGAAAAGCGCCTGCACATGCACTGAAAGACCCTTCCGTGACGATATCACTTAGTTTGAATAATCGACAGCACAATAGGAAAGTACTCAAGTGACAAATGGGTTTCTAGAAATCGAATTCGCTGGGGAAAAAAAAAACGTGGCGAGTGATGACATTGTGGGCTGCCGAATAGACTTGGAGTTACAAAAAGCAAACGAAACCACCGATGAAGCCCTGAAAAAAGGTCTCCTTCTAGTCCTCTTGAGTAATGAGCAAAGGCGGACCCGGGCCGGAAGAGCTGTCCGAACTACCTTGCTCCGCAGGCTCAAGCTGGCTCGTGCCAGCAAGAACTGCGGCTGCAATCGCATATGCACCAACACAAACAGATACATATGCATCAATAACAAATAAGGACATACCATTACTAAGCGAGTTAAGCAAGCAAAACCAATAAAAAAGAGGCAGCATTGATATCGAGACGCGGGATAAATACTCGCAATCCGCGCAAGAAATCCCCGGCCCAAGGCACGGCGATTTTCGGCGGTACTGGGCTGGAGGGCGTGTATGGCAGAATTGCCGACTAACGCCCACTTCGAGAGCCTTTCATACTTCCCTTCCTACGGCTCTTCAAGGGAGTTTTGGTTTTGCCAACGACTTCTTACGGCTCACGGCAGAAGCCCGCACATCTGTGCACTATCGCAAGGCTAGCAACCCTGCCTGCGATTTAGGCTCTTAAAGGAACCCGGAGAGCGCCAAAAACGTCTGACTGCTGCCAATCCAGAGAAATAGGAGCAACTGTTGTTTGCGTTCTAAAAGGATGGAAAAAATAGCGATGGATGAGTGTGTGAAAACAACGTTGAAAGAGACATGCATAAGTGGTGAAGGTAAAGATAGCAATTAGCAGGTACCTGCCCTTGAATATTAGGCAACCTCTACTCCACGACGTTGTTACGAGACAGGTTTACTGATCGTATCAGCTAATCGAATTTGTTTAATCGCCAACATTCAAGAGGTTTTTGCCATCGGATGACACTAGCCACTTGTGGATGAGAATGCAAAACCTATTGATCAGGCAGGTCTATTAGATGAGCTTGCTCAGTGATTGGGAAGAAAAGAGAATGAAATACTCAAGAAGACTCGAAAAAAGTTTATGAATAAAATTTTCAGAATTGTGGGAAATTCGCTTGAGCCCGTTAAAGTGGGGAAGAAGGAGGGGGAGGAGGGGCGAAGAGAGTTGATTTAGCACCATCTCATCGCGTGAGCTCACAACGTGAGCGAGTAGAGGGTTCATCGAGAACTGCAGGAGAAGACGATATTCATTTTTGATACAGGAGTGGGCCGCTTTCACTGGACCTCGCAGTGGCATCTCAGAAGACGGCTGAAAGAAGCTTAAGGCGATTTATGTTCCGAGGCGAAGTTGGGAATTTTGAGACCATTCATTTGGAATAAGAGATTTATATGGCAATTCCATAAAAAAAAACCAGCAAAAAAACTTGAGTTCTTTTTCTATTTTGGCTGCACGTACGTGCTTTACTCTACTCTTAACCTTTAAGACTTCTCATGGGAAATGTGATATAAATGCTTGTAAGGGAGTTAGGATTACATAAAAGGAGAAGGGTCGTGAGAATCCAGTTGAGTAAGGAAGGATCCGGTTGCCGAAGTTCCACGACAAGCAGCGTTACCATAAACGGATCTTATCGTTTTGTAGCGATGATGTTTCAATTGAGATACCACTCAATAAACACGCATTTGAAGTCGTGCTTTAAGCTAATCCGTCTGGCCATCTTCTTCATCAGGGGCCTTGCCTGACAGTACCAGACCAGATGGCCCGCCGAAACTCTACATCTCTCCTCCGGTCGATGAAGCAGTCTTTATGATGCCAGGGATGGGCCCCCGAAACTCTACATCTCTCCTGGTCGATGAAGCAGTCTTTATGATCGAGAATAGGGAGAGATGCGTCAAAAATCGTGGTTTTTGGGACCATTCCCTTCCGGGTACTGCTGCACACGTCCCAGAAGGTAGGCAAGATATGGCCCGAGAGAGCATTCCTCTTATTCCACTTGCGTTAACCTCTTCCAAAGAAAGGAGTCATGCTCTGTTCGGTGAAAGCTAGCATGACCTGGTCAGAAAATACCAAAGGAAGGATGTGACGCGACATGTTTCTACCACGAATCGTGTACAAGACTGAAAAACATGGAGAAAATGGCTGCAGTCTCGCTTCTGGATCCTTCGATTTACAATTGAATTGGAATTTTTGGACTTTCCAATAAGGAGAAATATTTATGGAAGTTTCTATCGAGTGAATATGAATGCCACTTCGACCCATATGGGCTAACGGTTCGCCTTACCTATCCTTGCATTCCAAAGCCTGGTGATCGTAGAAAAGTAACACGGAGGCCAGGGCAACCGCACCGTTTCCAAAAATTTTACGACCCCCAGATCTCGATATCCACGCACAACCGTTGCTGGGGGTGGAGAGCCGCGAGCGCTGCTGGTAAGCCCTTTTACGCCGCTACGGACCTTTTGTAGCAGAATCGTTCCAGCTCGTTTGAGAGACCTGCTCTTCTCTCTAGTAGGTATACATAGGTCCATTTCTTGACCTTCAATTCGTCGTGGAGTCCTCTTTCTCTTTCATAAAAAAAGAGAAAACCGTCAGTCAAGTCAGAAAAAGAAACCCGTTCCCGTAAATGCTCCAGTGCTACAGGCGCCCATAGGTTTGGGGGAAGGGGACGTTCAAAATGGGGCATTCAAAAACGCTAGGCGCTGGACACTAGAGCTAAGCCCAGGAGAGGGAGAAACGCCAGGGAGAACAAAGGTTGCTCACGTCCTCCCCCAGAATCTCTTCCCCTCCTAAGGCTTAGCCCAAGTTCTGTAAGTGGCTCACTTACTTCAATGTCCCCCTAACGGCAAGAGCTACATAGTGGTGCACTGCTTAGTTTAATTACGTTCTCAAGTGTGTATATTGTGAACGCAAATGGTGAAAACAGTCATGGGATCGATCAACAGCGAACACATCAGAAGAAGGCCAGTGAAATCAGGCGTGATACGAAACTGTGCGAAAAACAGGTACACGACAGTAGTAACAAGTGATTTACGACGTGTGGCGGCTGGGAGTGTGATGCGTCAGGAAAGAGAACGACTTCTGTCATGAGTGCTTGCGATGGTCACCATCGCCTAGAAGAAATGACCGTACAAAGTATTTGTTAACAAGAGAGAGTGATGATGATAGGCGAAGTCAATGGAGGGGGAAATTATTTTGCTGCTTTCACTAGGTATAGAGAACTACTGCGGGCGCTTATTTTAGAGTTAGAGGGGGCATACTAATTGAGTGAGCCACTGATAGTGAGTCTGGGACTAACGATAAACCCAAGGAGAGAATGGATAATGGTGGATGATGCGAGCAATTTTTGTTTTCCCTGGCGTTTTCTCCCTCTCCTGCACTTAATCCTAGTGCCACCTACCAGCGGCCCCGTTTTGAATGTCCCCCCCCCTTCCAAAGCCGTGAGAGCTCTACTACGTATCGGCAAACCGTTAGGCCAAAGCAGGTATGATGGGAAGAAAATGCTGATTCAATGATAAACATAAGAGCATGATAGTTAGGAAAACGAGAGAGGCTTGAATCATTTGTTACTTGGCCGAATAACATGGTGAATTACTAGTGATCAATTCAGTACAAAACATTCCAGCAGAAAAATACGAGTAAAACCGGTATAAAATACGAACGGACATCATCAGGACAAACAAGCTGGTATAGAAAGCTACAGCGACGAATCTGTTCATGGCCTTCGAGAAAAGCCTTCAGATTAATGCTTGGATACATCAGCAGAGGAAAGGTGGGGGCGAGAAAGGTAAGGGTGAAACACATAGGAATAAGGTATTTATGCATGATAGTAAAACAGAGGTGTATAGTATAGTATAGTACGTAAAAATCGTCTTCTATATTACAGTTTTCTTTTGATCAACAGCAGAGATAGAGCAGTGGCGAGGGCTCAGACACGACGCCAAAAATCTGTGGATCAAACGCCACAAAAGATAATCAGCACTCCAACACGGAATCGAGCAAATGAAGCTGGTTGTGTTCTAGAGCCACAAAAACGTATGCTCAAATAGTTGGACCGAGACTTGGAAATGAATAAATACGA